ACCATAGGTGGCGCCTGTGTTGTAGCCGACGTTGGGTCCGTTAGGTCTCACCAGTGTAGACTGGAACGTTATCACTGAGGCCCCAATGATGTCTTCATTTACTGTCGTAGTTGTAGAGGTCTATTGGCTGCGCCATAATTGTATCGCTGCCCTTGCCACTCGCCGGCGAAGAAAAGGAAATAATATCAGATCTTGGTTTTCTACAGCGTTATCCCCAACGCCTGCCGTATCCACCATTATTGCCGTATCCTCCAAGCCTGCCGGATCCACCAATGTTGCTGTATCCACCAGTGTTGCCGTATCCATCAGTGTTGCCGTATCCACCTATGTTGCCGTATGAGTCGGTATTTCCCCCAAGCCTGCCGTATCCTCCAAGCCTGCCGTATCCACCATTATTGCCGTATCTTCCAAGCCTGTCGTATCCACCAGTGTTGCTGTATCCACCAGTGTTGCCGTATCCACCAATGTTGTCGTATGAGCCGATATTTCCACCAAGCCTGCCGTATCCTCCATATCCACTTCCATATCCTCCCAGAGCACTGTTTCTGGAAAGTCCACTGAGCCGTCCGGATGCTCCGTAGCCAGAGCCGCCGTAACCGCCTCCGTAACTGCCGAGTCCACTTCCGTAACTTCCGATTCCACTTCCATAACTGCCGAGTCCACCTCCGTAACTTCCGTGTCTACCTCTGTAACTTCCTATTTCACTTCCGTAAGTGCCGAGTCCACCTCCGTAACTTCCTAGTCTGCCTCCGTAACTTCTGTATCCGCCGCCATATCCTGCACGGCCACCATAGCCACTGCCGTATCCAGCGCCAGTCCCACCGGCATAGTTAGATGCCGCAGTAAATGCTACACACTGCAACACCAGAACCAAAATATTATTGTGTTGACACGTAAAAACATGCCACAAATTTAAACTAAATGACGCATGTTATAATTATTAAGCAACGAAAAGCACTCGTGCGCAAAAGAATTTTACAAGTGTGCCGATTCTATTATCGTCGCAGTAAAGAAATAGTTGAGTCAGTGCAAACGTAGTCTTGGTTCATAATCACTCAGTTAATATATATTTTGTTATTATTACTTTTCATTATTATATAGTACAACCCAAAACGAAATAAATGCCACTAATACTGAAATTGTAACAAATTTGAAATAAAAATGAATTTAAAATAAAAATGCAAATAAGCTTAAAATGAAAATGAGAATAAAAATTAATTTGAAATGAAAATCCTAAAACTAAAACTAAAACTAAAAAATTAAAAAAATTAAAAAACTGGAGATGAAAATAAATTAAAAATAAATAACAACCAAGGTAACAATCCATAGCCATCTCGGCCACCATACTGCAGACTCTTACCGCCAAGAGAATTAAGATCTTCATCCTCCTTCTGAAACACGAAGATACGCAATTAATAACAGTTATTCATAAAATGCACTCAACTATATAATACATTGTATACAGATATTTTTTCTGACAATATTTTGCCACTAAACCTTTGAGAATAAAGTAAGAATAATAACTATTATCGATTAACGTTAACATTAACTGTTACAGAAAAACTGGCAAATAAAGGATATCGAGTATCATGATATCCCCACACTAATAAATAGGGTATTTGAACCTTATACTGTAACGTGCTTAGCAGCAGATGAAATATGAATGTTCATATACAGTATCATTACATGCGTAATTATATAGATCGGATAGCGATTGAATCGTAATATGTAAAGAGTTACAGAAGGCGCTTCCAGTACCCGAAGCTCACGCATGATTAAATGCAGCATAGTTAGTAGAAGGAGTCTCCCTCTACTAACTATGATGCATATATATGAACGTATATAAACACTTGCAATCTAGAATTCAGTGAATACTAATCTCTCTCTCTCTCTCTCTCTCTCTCTCTCTATATATATATATCTATATATATATATGTGTGTGTGTGTGTGTGTGTGTGTGTGTGTGTGTGTGTGTGTGTGTGTGTGTGTGTGTGTGTGTGTGTGTGTGTGTATATATAGTATAGTATAAACTTACTCGGTCTGTGACGTTGGAGGCTGGCGTGGTAATAGTGAAGACGTTATATCCGTCTGTAGAAATTGGTCGCTGCGCAATGTCCTCGAAGGTAGCCTGCTTTTTAAAGAGTTTCGTTGTTACATGACCAACTTTCTGTTGTTTACTATTTACTCCGGCAATTGTTTTAACCGCGTTTGACACATATTTTTAAGACAAGCTCAATCCATCTCTACTCGCCAAATTAAAGCTGACTACGACCCTGGATGCACAGTCGCCGTCGCTTTGTTATTTTGGCTCGCCTAATGGAGATTGATTGTTTGCACGATCAACGCGAATAGACCTGGTTATTCGCGGTATAAGGAAAGAGAATACCCGAATACGTAGGTCTGTGTATTTTATTGTGGCTCCGGATTTGTTAGTCTTCCGCCAAATTAGTAAAGAATCGTGCTAGATGCAATGCCCGTGTATTCACAGTACAACAATATTAGCTTTAATGTTCACCTAAAGCAAGAGATTCACGTGCGAAATCGGCGAGTGGTAGCAATAATGAATATAGATGTAGGCCTACATATACGATATTTTTCACTTCTTATCATTTCTGAAATCGTTTACATATCGAAATTTGATACCAATATATGCTTATAATATATCCACATATTGCTTTAACAATTAAATGTACATATAAAGATACACGAAAACAACATTCTGATTGTGTTACAGATATGTGGTCTGTTATGCACTATATTATACGTACATAGAAAGTGCGCCTAGCAACATGCAACCTAGATTGAGGACAACTCTTTTATCGAATCACCTGCATTATAATTTATTGTTGCTATTGTTCCTAGTATACTTACTGGTAGCTGTATAGCTGTATAGCTGCATGGTAGCTGTATACTGTTACCTGTATAGCTTACTGGTCGTGTCTCATGCAGTTTCTTCCACTTCTACTTGATTGTGGCTCAGTTATTTGCGGCGTCTTTGTTGGTAGCGTTAGTATAGGGTGGCGAACGCATTAATTATTTCTCACTATATATATATGAGGGAAGCTCTCGCTCTTACTCTCGGTTCTCTCTCTTTCTATCTCGCGTGCGCATTCTCTCTCTCTCTCTCTCTCTCTCTCTCTCTCTCTCTCTCTCGTGCTCTCCCTCTCTATCTCTTACACTCTCCGCAACTCTCCATACCCTCAAAAATGTTCTCTCCGTGCATTTTACGGACACCAATCATGTAGACAGATATAGCGATCTAGATTCAGAGATGCGGAAAACGAGATAACTGAGAGATTTTTCGACTCGACACACGTGCGCCATATGTCCCTGTTTGTTCATGCTGTGTGTGATCCCT